CATTAACATTATTACGTAATCATATTCCGTTCATTGATGAATAGTATAAGGATGGATAGTAGCTAGCAATGGAATACAGTAAGCGCGTTTCGTTCTATTTAGGACTCATCAGTTAGATGTACATGCATCTTTGATTTAATGTTCACTCCGGGACTAGGACCCAGTACGGTTTTAGTTTCAAACACCATCGCATTATCCACTTACCTACTAAATTCAAGTAGGACAAAAAGCAAGTCTTTGGTTTACCTACTAACCATCATTCATTTTTACTTATAATGCTTGTGACTTAAAACGATATCAAGGCAATCCGTAAAGGATGAACATATCCCAATAAGAGACTGATCAATTGCAGTCCTAAACATCACTGAGAAGATTCAAGTAAACAATACAAAAATGAATTAAAATCAAACTACTTTTCAACTATTAACTGGTCATTGTAAGCAAAGATGGATAGTGGCTAGCAGTGGAATCCAGGACGTGCGTTTCGTCCCACTCGACACTCGTCAGCTGGATGTACCTGCATCCCAGAATTGATGTTCACTCTGTGACTCGTACCCAGTAACATTCGCTTCAAACGCCATTGCGTTATCCACTTAGCTACTGTGTCCTGATAGCTACTTGCTTGTGCAACGGGGTGAAGTTTAATTCACTTGGTATTGTTTGGCTTTTATCTTCCCATCGATGTTTTAGGACTGAAATCGATCAGTCTCTTATTGGCTGACAAGTCCCGAACAGGACAAAACGCGCGTCCTGGATTCCACTGCTAGCCACTATCTATCTTTGCTTATAATGCTTGTAAATTAAGGCAATATCGAGACATACGCACAGTATGCACATATGCCAATAACAGACTGATCAATTTCAGTCTTAAAACATCAATTGGAAGATTCAAGTAAAACAATACCAAGTGTATTAACTGGTCAGTTTAAGTGAATTTTTGAAGAATATAAATGAAAAAAAAATATTTTACTTCAGAAATTTGGTAATCCTCTTAGAAAACAAAGAGCGTAGATCAGCATTCTGTTTATACCTAATCAATAATTTTTTTTCTGAAATAAAGAACTTAAGGTATCAAAACTACCACAAGCCAGTGGACCAATGTTAGAAGATGAAGCCTCGGTGACCAAAAATATGTTCATATGCCTTTTGTCCGTTTAGGATTTTGAAGCCTACATACACCATCAAGATTTTCCAATTCCCCTAGGTAGATCTTTCATATCCATCAACCTGGTTAAAATGGATTGGATTAATTATGTTATATACAACTGAGTCCTTGTATGTATTATTTTCACTCGAATATAAAAGTATAGCACAAATATTTTCAATAACTATCTTACAGATTTAATTCATATTACCCTGGAATAAACATCGAATCTGGGATTCAAGTATATCCAGCCGACGAATCCCAAATAGAATGAAACACGCATTCTAGATTCCACTACTAGCAACCAACCATTTGTGCTTATCTTACAAACTATTGAATCATAAATGAGTATAGTTGATCATAGTTAAGTAACTGATATTAAATGATGTAAACTATTGATTTCCAACTATACAGTTATATTGTTTGATCCTTCTGGGGGAATTTATTATTGAAAAGGATGAAGATCAATAATGACAACTTATAAACTAAAATAATGTGTATCTTTCATGTAATTTGTTCTTCATTTTGTTGTTTACAAATAGATATCAGTTGTTGTTTTGTTTTGTTTTCATAAACGGTAATAAACTGAATTTCAGTAGTCAGATGAACAGACAAAAAAATCACTGAATTATCAGAAGGGGTTTTGTGGAAATCTTGAGACAATTGAAGCTAGACAACCATGAAAAACTTGGAAGCACTGGACAGTCGTTTCGTCCTATTGTAGGACTCCTCAACAATGCGCATCCACGATTCCGCCCCTCAGGAGACTCGAAACCAAGACCTAACAGTCTCGCGCGCGATTGATAAACCTGGAGTACTAATGAGAAGCCGTGGCCAGTGAGGGTCAACCAGGTCTGTTGTGAGATATCAGCTCACTGAAGACAATGGTGTACGGTGGTGCAATTTCATGGATTGGTTAAAGTTAGATATTAACATAATTGGATGACGGCCGGATCAGTGTTCTAGAGGTTAAGTCCATGGGTTCGAATCTCGCGGGGCGCAGGATCATGACTGTGCACTGCTGAGGAGTCCCATACTAGGACGAAATTGCCGACCAGTGCTTCCAAGTTTTCCATGGTGATCTAGCTTTAACTGACTCATGATCTAAACTATTGAAACTAGGAATTATTAGTTCATTAATCTATTCAGTAATATTGTGGTGTGTGCTAATAATGTCGATAGTTACAAGTAGTACATATAATGAATTTAAAGTGAAATGTCTGGTGGCAGAAGGTTAAGAAGATAGAAGAAAAGGGAACGAGAATAGAGAATGGTTAGCGTGGAAAAGGAGTAGTCAAGGCTGAAACCGTTGGTTAGTATTTTCAAAAGGAAAAGTCAATTTTGAGACAATTGATTGATATTTTGCAAATGATGAAGTTACTGTATGGTTCTCAGATTTTGCTAAGATGTTTTGTAATATTATGCTCAAATACATTCGATTGTCCTCATTTGTGTTCTCGTTTGCTACAATATGACTTATGAAGGATTTAGAAAATTATAGTATACAATATTGATCGTGAGTCAGTGTGCATCCACAATTCCGCATGTGGGATCTGGACCTAGGACCTTCGGTTTTGCGTACCAACGCCTAACATTTAGAACACTGAGCCAGTATCCAACGATCTTAATGTCTAACTTCAACTAATCCACAAAATTGAGTGATCGATCGAATATCTTGAGGCGGGATCGTGGATACGCACTGCTGGGGAGTCTCACAATAGGACGAAACGGCCGTCGAATGCTTCTAGGTTTTCCACGGTGGTCTAGTTTCAATTGAATCATGATCTCAACCAATGAAATTACTATAATATCCACAAAACCCCTTCTGATAATTATTTATTTATTTGATAATAAGTAACAGTCTCAACATACACTCACCATTTGAGTAAATGTTGAGACTGTTGTTACTGAGTGATTGACTCAATTGGTGACATATCCACCGTAAAAGTACCAAATCTAGCATCAATGTATGTTCTTTATTCTTCTGAAAACAAAGGATTCTAAATTATAATGTGTGTGTGTGTGTTTTGAATGAATACAATTTCACATGCAATCATATAACCAAGGTACTTATAATAAAATAGTGAACATAAACTTCTTTAAATGAATCTACCTTAGTTAAATTGTAGCTTCTTAGCTTAGTAGATATTTTATTTCTAAATAAGTCTATGTATAATTAATTTTCACTTTCAGGTTGAAGAAGCTAACACCCATGAATTCCCGTGACTTAGCTAATACTAAGGGTAAAGTTGAAAGGGAGAAAAAAAAATGCAGTTTGGTTTACCACCTGATACAGTGAAAGAAGCATTGAAATTTCACAGTTGTAATTAACATGTTTAGTTTATGCATAAAACCTGGAATGATTAAACTGTTGATAGGTAGGTCAGTTCCTACACGAAGTAAGAAGTGCAAGTGTGATCAGGTGAATTATTTAGTTAATCATGGTAACTCAGTCAGTCATAATCAAAATGTAACCTACGATAATAGTGTATTTGTTCAAGCTACCAAAATGAAATTAACAAGAGTAGTGAAAATAGTAACCGTATTAGTGGTATTAGAAAAACAAAACACAGGCACTGTGAATCGAAGAGAAAAAAAATGAAACATTGAATACAGCTGAGCTATAACAACCCAATACTTCTAAACACTAAACCTTAACCAGATAGCCTTCACCCACAATCATGACTAAGGTCCATCACTGATGATTTTATAAAGGAATCACAAATTTTGTTGTAGTTTTCTTCTAACCTACCCTTTCGTTAACCATTAATCAGTTGTTAAGATAGATGGTGGTTGGAAATACGTAGCATATGTCCCAACTATTTAAGTTGATGACAGCTAAGTACATCTATAGTCACTTAATACTCCTCTTTATCTAACTCCTATATATCTCTGCCAGAACTACTCTAATATGATGTTGGTAAAATATATTCATGATCTTATTTTCTATATTTGACGAGATCAAGGATCTTAAAAAGAGGGTATATTGATACTAAATCAGATACTATGATCATAATATCTAACTACCTTCTATACATGATCAAAATCATTCATGAATGTTTCATCTTTTAGGTTGCATGTTTGTATAAATTATTGATTCGAACATTTTTAGAAATGATCTAATGATGCATTCACCTGGATTCGTGCTAGACTTCATGTACTCTAGCTTAGTAGTTATTACCCTATGCTTCAATGGTTGAATTAGTACTAATCATTATAAATAACTGTCGATTATAAAACAATACAATATAGTATATGCTACTGATGTCGATAGATAGATATAAATAGTAGATATCACTAATTGAGAGTGAAATGTCCGGCAGCAGAAAGTTAAGGAGATCAAAGAAAAGAGAATGGGAACAGAGAATGAATAATGTGGAGATGATTGATTGATATTTTGCAAATGAAGTATTTACTGTATGATTCTTAGATTCAAGTTCGAATGCATTTACTTATCCCTACTTATGTTCTCATTTACTATAATACTAATTTCTAAGAAAAGTATATCATCTCTTGAATGAAATCACTTAACCTTCATTCCATAAACAATCAAACAAGCAAACAAAAAAGGGCATAAGCAAAGATGGATAGTGGCTAGCAATGGAATCCAGGACGCGTATTTTCTCCTATTTGGGACATGTCAACTGGATCTACCTGCATCCTAGAATTGATGTTCACTCTGTGAATCGAATAGGATGGATTCCATTACTAGCCATTATCCATCTTTGTGTTAAAAAAGCTTGTGAATTAAAGCAATATCATGGCAATCCATACACAATATCCATGTACCAACAAGAGACTGATCAATTTTAGTCTTAAATAACAATTTATCGAACAATACAATGAATTAACTTACATGTTTAATCAGAATTAAATTAAATTAATCAATAAATGTATCCGATTTTTTTTGGGGGGGGATCTCGACATTTTTATCTTCCTTTTTACATGAAATACACAATGTATATTCCTTAAATGTACTTTCATTACCTCAGTAACAGTGACAACCATAACAACAACCACAGCAACAATTGTAGATTAGTAATATCATTGATTTTTGTGTGTGTGTGTGTGTGTGGGAAATTCTTCATAGAACAAAACTGATCATCATAAATAAAGTATCCATGTCTATTTGTACATGGTAACAACTTCTATCTCATGTAAAAGATAATCAGTTTGTTATTTATTCCTTGATAAATATTAATTCCATAGAAATTAATTATAATATTTAGTAATAGATTAGATTTATTTTTAAAAAAAAACTAAATAAATAAATAAATCGAATTGAAAATTGCATGTGTTCATTCACTAGTTAACTTTATTTCTGTTTCTATGTCAATCACCTACGCATATGGTCAACTTTTCCCAATTGTTTGTATCTAAGTGTGTATATATGTATCTATGTGTGTACGTAGTATGTATGTATGTATGTATGTATGTATGTGTCTATGTATGTATAATAAACGTAATTGTATAAATGCTTACACATTGTGGATAAGTGTGTGTGTACGTGTGTCCGTGTGCGTTAGTATGTGTGTGAGTGTGTGCATATATATGGGTCTATATTATAATCTCTATATATGTAACTCATTTCTATCATCATATTCTACCCCTTAAATCAGACCAAGAGGATGAAGACAAAAACTCAAATGAAATGAGTAGTAACCAATTACTACTCAGACCAATCGTCTATAATAAGAAGAGGAATAGAATAGAAAACTATCCATGTGGATTTTAAAGAGAATCTTTCTAAACAAAAAAAATTTTTTTTTAGAGAAATAAACCAACCAATAATCAACTATGATCTGATACACAACTACAATAATAATGAATGAATGTAAAAATGGGGCAAATGCCAAATTGTGTGTCTTAGATAACATTTTTCCTAGTTAAATCAATAAACTTCTTTCTTTTCTCTTCTTTTTTTTTCTTTACTAAAAGAGTGAGTAGATAAAGAAAGAAAAATCCAACTGAAAACTTTCATATAAAGACAAGTTATATGAAGAAAAAATAGAGAGAAAAAAGAGAAAAAAGAAAACAAGAAAGAAGATATAACTTATAGGCTAAGAAATATAATCTGTTTTTTTTCTTTTTTTTAACTGGCTTAAGTGAAACAGATTACAATATAACGATTACAATCTAACGATCTTTAAAATGAGTATATGAGTATATATATATTCATATAACATAATACTCATAATCTCAACTATTGAAACTACTATAATATCCACAAAAATCCCCTTCTGATATTGATCAACATATGTTCACTAGTGATTGACTTCAAGAGTTATTACTTGGAGTTCTATTGAGAAGCAGTGACAATTGCAGTACAATCAGGTCTGTTATGAGATAGTAGATTACTGATGACAATAATGGATGTCACTCAATTTTGTGAATTAGTTGAAGTTAGATATTAACACAGTTGCATACCGATAGGCTCATTGATCTAGAGGTTAAGCATTTGTGAGCGTGACTGATAGATCCTGGGTTCGAATCTTACGAGCGGGATAATGGATGCACACTGTTAAGGAGTCTCATACTAGGAAGAAATGGCCAGTTGGCTCAGTGTTCTAGTGGTTAAGCACATGCATACGAGAATGATAGGTCCTGGGTTGGAATCTCGCGTGGTGGAATCGTGGATACGCACTACTGAGTGGTCTCACAGTAGGATGAAATGGCCGTCTATTGTTTCCAAGTTTTCCATGGTGGTCTATCTTCAATTGACTCATGAAATTACTGCAATATCCACAAAATCCCTTCTGATAATAATACTATATGTCACTTAAATGACATGAGTTGTTAAACTCTCACTTATACATTTGAATATCATAAAAGATATACGTTGAAATAAGCTATAGTAAATAAGTTTGTTTGTTTGTTTGTTAAATATTCTTATTTATAATTTATTTTTCATTGATAATTCGACGAGATTATCATGTATAGATGAAGCGATTAGAGTTAGGATGATAGGACTTGAATTTTGACGTGAAAGACATTCATCTATTTGACTAAATATCATTTTGGCATTTTAACTGATGTCAGTTAGTAATGAAAACTCTAATCTTAATTCCTAACCCTAACTGTGGTCTATGCTACTTATATCAACATAAGTAGTATATAACGAGAGTCAGGAATATAATGTCTAGCAGCAGAAGATTGAAAAGATCAAGAAGGGAAAAACGGAAACAAAAAGCTAATGGTATGGAAATGTAAAAACTGTAGATAATAATTGTAGTTCCTCACATTTGTTGATAACCCACATTTAGATCTAGTTAGTAGGTGGACATGATCATGGTCACTTTAGCATTGCTCAAAGATCTTCTATAAATGATAGTCTCCTCGATAATTCTTTTACTGCAGATAGAATTATGTTTCTTTACTCAAGTGTTTTGAATTATTTGATCAGTGATCATCAGACACTTGTAAGTTCTTCATGATAATAAACTAAACACTAAATTCAAATATACAAGTAGCTCAATTACATTTTCATCGATAAGAGAGGAAAAGATATTGAGATTATTATTTATGGACGACCTTTGAACGACGCTTGAGTGTCCTTGAGAGTGTCCACCTACTAATAAGTAGGACCAAATGAGGATTATAAATCGGTATGAAGAATTAGAATTATGATTTACGGTTGATGATTAAGCTTAGGAATTAGATCTCGGGTTTTCATCACGAACTGACATTAGCTGTAATGCTAAGACACTATTTAGCCAAATGGATGAGTGAATTCCGTGCCAAATTTCCGAGACCTATTATCTTATACGTGATTGGTTCGTCCATAAATTATAATCTTGCCAAATAATTGATTGATTTACAAATTTTCTAATGATTTCTACATTCCTACAATTGAAGAATATATAGGACTCAAAACAATTGTCAACCAATATCAAAGTAAAAAATCTTCCATACGAACGTCAAAACAGATCCACTGTACTCAGCTGAAACTTTGACAACTACAACAACTATCATCAAAAAAACAACAAGTATTTGTAAATAATTGTCTACGCAAAATACTCAATGTTCGTTGGCCATCAGCAACAGCCTACTATGGGAGAGAACAAACCAGCTTTCAACTGAACAGGAAATTAGGAAAAGACGATGGGAATGTATAGGACATACATTATGCAAAACATCAAACTGCATCACGAGGCAAGTCCTCACATGAAATCCTAAGGGGGAGAGAAAAAGAGGAAGGCCAAAGAACACATTACGTCGGGAAATAGAAGCAGATATGAAAAGGATGAATAACAACTGGAAGGAGCTAGAAAGGATTGCTCAGGACATGGTTGAGTGGAGAGTGCTGGTGGGTGACTTTTGCCCTTCCACGAGGAGTAACAGGCGTAAGTAGGTAAGTAAGTAAGTAAGTAACTACAATATGTATATATTCATATTCGTTTAATCATAAGCTTTTATTTGACCTATTGACTACTGTTATACAGTTCTTAATTTATTCCCAATTTGTTTATTGCAATCTCTCACAATCACAGCTACTTTTTGGCTTCATCTTATACCAATGTCATGTCCTATGATCTAGTTTGTTTGTATATAAACGAAGTATACCTGATTCATACAGTAGAAGCTACGTTCTAGGCTCAAAACGACAGAACTAGGCGGGAGAACCAATCAAGACTTAAAGTTGACTCTAGGCTATTCGTATTGATTTATATTTTATTGATTTGGTCAATAAGTCAGTGTTTTAATTGGCGATTTTATCACGCGATATAATGAACAGAGACAAAAGATACAATACAAAATAAAAATCAACGTTTACAATCTAGTCAACTGAAGAAAATATCGGTAGGTGATAAGATAGAATGACAAAATATGGAGGGTTTAGTAAACTCTTTTTAAAGTTTTACAATATGTTCCAGTAAATGACTAGTCATTTAATTCGATTACAAGACGTATTTTTTGAATAATTTTTCCGGAGAACTACAAAAACCATCATCCAGAAAATACAGGTGTTTATTAACAGTTGTCTACGCAAAACACTTCAGATCCGTTGGCCGAACACTATTAGCAACAACGTACAAACCAGATCCCAGTGGAGGAAGAAATCAGGAAGAAACGCTGGAAGTGGATAGGACACACATTGAGGAAAGCACCCAACTGCATCACAAGACAAGCCCTCACATGGAATCCTGAAGGTCAAAGGAAAAGAGGAAGACCAAAGAACACATTGCGCCGAAAAATGGAAATAGACATAAGAAAAATGAACAAGAATTGGATGGAACTAGAAAAGAAGGCCCAGGATAGAGTGGGTTGGAGAATGCTGGTCGGCGGCCTATGCTCCAATGGGAGTAACAGGCCTAAGTAAGTAAGTAAGTAAGTAAGTAAATACAAGACGTATTTAGAACTTAAGGAGAAACTCATTGTTGTCACTGAAAGTTGACATAAGCTATTCAGCTGGATTATAGTATGAAGTCATTCATATCACTCAAAGAATATCATTTCTTCCTCCTAAACGATGAATACATCTTGGAATTGGTTAAATAAAGCACAAAACTTAAAGTACTAAATCATTATTTTATAAGATAATTCAAATTACAGGAATATAATGATACAATGGGCTAATCAAAAATCGACTAAATGGTAAGTCCAAGCGATTAGTCAAGATTTGATTTCTTATTCTAAAGAATGTGAAACATTCCATTAGTGGAGAAAAGTGACTTATATCTCTCAGGTATACATACACACACATACATACATACATACATAATACATGTCAGTGCATAGCTGTGTTTTCTATCCAAATGGTTAAAGAAGATCTTCCTTCTCATTTAAGTAATCACCAAGTCTCTTGAATAGGAAACTCGTTTATCATCATCCTTATCAAACATCTCAAAGTATAACATAGATGATTTTC